CCAACCGCGATGGCCTCCAACCTAATGGCGATGGCCTCCAACCCAACAGCGATGGCCTCCAACCTAATGGCGATGGCCTCCAACCTAATAGGCGATGGCCTCCAACCCAACAGCGATGGCCTCCAACCTAATGGCGATGGCCTCCAACCTAATAGGCGATGGCCTCCAACCTAATAGCGATCAACCTAAGAGCGATGGCCTCCAGCCTAATAATTTAATAGCATTGGCCTCCAACCCAATAGCGTTGGGATGGCCTCCAACCTAATCAATAGTGATGGCCTGAGGAACAAGGGCCCTAAGACAAGAAACCATCTAAATTTATATGGTAGATCTAAATAGTTCTCAAGCAGCTTTGCCAGGGGCCATCCAGTATTCTGTTTCGGCCAGGTTGTTGCAAGGGTGCTCAGCACGGGCATCTTTTGGATGATTTTCTGCGCCAAAATGTGTATCCTCAACTTGTGCAACTTGACAGACTGGGACAGAGGCTGACAGGGCGGAAAGCCTGGGTTGGTCACGGTTTGAACTTGAACAACATATTAATGGTTTTCCAAGGCCTCAGAACAACAGCAGGCCTAACTGACATGGCGATGGCCAAGGCCTGTAAGGGCTAAATGCATTGAGAACATCTTCACTCTTAAGAACCCCAAGCACGCCAGCTGTGACCTTTGGCCCTCTAGTTTCCCGAGGGCTCCAAAGCATACCCCTTTGGATGCCTAAACCTCGCTTACCGACTCACCATTTGTCACTTTGAGTCATGAGATTCCTCACCAAAGCTGATCACTCGCATCCCCCCACTCACGCCACTCCAACAGAGGTAGCCAGTGACCTGAACTAGGACCTGGGTTTCTAAAGGATAGTCGAACCTTCGGGTTCTTCAACCTCTGCTGGAGCTCACTGCTCACCGTTTTGAGGCCACCGCTTCGCCGCACGATGGCCATGCTGCGACCTGCTGCCTAGCCTCTTGATCAGCCTCGCCCTCCTCGTCGCCACCCAACTTGGGGTCGTGCTGGGGCGCCGTTTGGCACGAAATGCATGTGAGTCCATGGATGGGCCTCCAACCTTAGCGATGGCCTCCAACCTTCATGTGTGTCCAGAACTTTCATACAAAACTTACAAAACCTTTTTTGTTTCCAAGCTCCTGGTTTCCAGTTCTTATTGCTTTGCTTGGCCCAAGTCCGATTCGGATGTTTGTGCTGGACCCAGGAATGGCCGCGCAAAACCTCCTCACGGCTTTGCATCTCTGGCCAAATTTTGGGGAGGTGGAGGTGCGACTTGACTTGACCTGAACATGTGCTGAGAATAGGATCCATAGTAGTGATGAGCTCCTAGTAGCTTCTTGTTCCTAGTAGCGATGCCCTTTGTTGCTAGTAGCGATGCCCTTGCTCCTAGTAGCTTCTTGCTACTACATCAGTTCTTTGCACAAGGCAAGATGTAGACATGATGTAGATGAATGAAGTACGCGGCAAGCATGTGCAAGCCTGTGTCAGCCCTGGTAGATCCTGGTAGAAAATCCTTCCTCTCTTGGTCCGACCCACTTCTTAGGATTTGGTTGGCACTTTCCTTGTCTTTGACCATTGGCACACTTCGCTGGTGATCGTGTTCGACGTGGTGATTGGTATCTCACCTGACTGGACAATCCGGTTCAGCCGATTTTCGCACCTTTCAACATTCAAGCTTTTTGAAGGACGCTAGTTGTCGCCAGTTGCCGCAGCAGACAAGGCTTTGCACGATTCACATGGACACTGGGTTAGTGGTAATTGACGTGTGAAGCCTTGGGATGCTCGCCAACAGCAACGATCGACGTGAAGCCCTGGGGCCTACAAGGGCCCTTTGGGCAGCAGAGCTAATTATCGGGAATCTTTTTGAAATCTTTGGGAACCTTTGGCAGTTTGGCCAGGTCAGGCCTACCCAAAGACAACCCCCCAAGCCGCAGCTGGCTTTACGGATACACTTCCCAAGGAAGTTCTTGGCAGAAAAAGCGCGGTGCGTCTGCAGCACGTATTTGTTTTCTTCGGGCTAGTCCTTGGGATGGCCTGAGGCCTGTAAGCAAATGCATAGCGATGGCCTCCAACGTGGTGCAACCCAATGAAGGACTTCAGGCCCCAAGTCGAGACTCGTTTTGGAATCGGGACCGCGGATGAAGAAGGCATTTGGAGCCTTTTTCTAGTCATGTTCTATCATGATGCATGGTCCTCAAGCCATTAATGGCTTCATTGCGCTTTTTTTTGCGTCCTCAATCTCATGGACAGGTTCAAATCTCTTTATGGTCGCACTCTTTCGTGAGGGGAGCACATGGTATGACCGGATTTCCGCTGCACCCTGGGAGTCGCGTGAGGCTTCGCACACACCGCAGCGCAGTAGCAGGATGCACCCGATGCCCGCGAAGCCATGGGCGTGGGTCAAAGCAGCGGCTCAACGGCTGCCAGGAAGAACAGGCATGGGGCCGACATGTCCTGGGTGGGTTTGCTTCACCTGTTAGGGTGGCGATGCTGTGTTGGGAGGAATGAGATGGGGACTGCTTGATGCCAGTTGGCTTGCAGGATACTGTAGGGTGTAGGTTCTTGGAGTGACCGAAAAAACCCATCCGAACTGACCTCGGTGGAGCGCTGTGTGTTTTCTCGAAGATGCCAAGAGTCTTTTTCCGGGGACGATGGGGCTGGAATACCATGCAGGCCATGGAATGCATACCTTCCACTCAAGACACATCCCACCCATGTGGAACCCTGGAACGGATGTCCACCCACAGTGGGAGAGGCATGGCATCGGCATCGGAGAGCCTCCTTGGCGCTGTGCTGCTTGGCAAAGTTGAGGAATCGCTTTGCGATCGCGTGTGCAGGGCATTGGAGCTGGTTATAGCTGGTTTCTGTTCTTGTGAGGCCTATTTATATCAATTTTGCTGTGGTAGGGCGAGCTGGATTCGGCTCACAATGGTGAATCAGAAGAGGAACAGCCTCACTGCAAGCCGAATCTTCGGACAAACCATACTGACAATATTGTGACAATACACTGACAATACCGTACCCGTCTTCCTGTAGTGACGACTGGATTTCAATCTTCCACGATGCACCTCAACCATTCCTCCAATCATCTCCAATCTTCCAATCCATTCCAACACCAAACAAAAAGGTGCACCGAAAAGAAAATGGACGGCTTTGTAAAAACCACAAGCTAAAAGCGATGGCCTCGACCTCCAGCCCAATAGCAATGGCCTCCAACCTAAGAGCGATGGCCTTGAACCTAATCGCGATGGCCTAATAGCCATGGCCTCCAACCTGATAATAGCGATGGCCTCCACCGAAAAAGTGCACCAAGGACCTGGCTGGTGATTTTAGCTGTGCTGACCTTTGCCGCACTTCATTGTTAAAGTGGGCGCCAAAGCTTTTTAGCGCCAGGGAGGTTGAGAATGAACACAATTGATTACTTATATATATATATATATACATATAGTATATTGTGGAATCGGAGTGATACCACACTGGTAGCAATGTCAGGGATTCCCGGATCCCAACCTCACACAACAAGCAACGGGCGCCCCTGGCGCGGAAACTGTTTTCCCTCTCTTCCAAGCTCTGTGGCGTCCTCGCCAGTCGTCTCCACGGATGGCCTCCCTGAGACCAAATGCCCTACGCAAGGGCCATGCCGCCTAAGCCCCCTGACTCTCGGGCCGAATGGAAGCATGCGGATCGATGGTGTTCGAACAGACGGATATGTCATGGAGAACCTGGCAGACAGGATTCACAAAATTCACACTCCTAAAAATCTCTATTCTATTGTTTTGTGCAGTGAGAGCATTGATGAGCACACTCTTGGTTGTTGTTCAGCCATTGGTTTCGAAGTTTCTTGTCGGCCCGCTGTTGAAGTATAGTATCGATGTCATGGACTCGACAGGTGCCTACAGCTAGAAAAATCCGCAGTGGCGTGGTATCCATATCCTTGGTGAGAGCATCGGCAAGTTGTGCTGCCGAATGGACCCACTTGACACCGACTCCTTCGGACAGACGATCTTTGATGATCAGGGCCTCTAACATTGTACGATACTCGGAACACTGAGGTATCGATGTCTTCTGCAATAAGTCGTACAGGGATTTGCAATCTACAATGGCATAGGCTTTCGGAAGTCTCAAAAGAGTCTTTTCGGGATGCCGCCATTCGAGAGAGGGGCAAATCAACCAGGCCCAATGCAGGCGAGTCCAGCTGAGGAGATCTAAAGCTCCCGAAAGGGCATATGTTTCTGATGCCAAAGTACTTCCTACCACCCTTGAAATCTTCTTCGAATACCAGGTCAGTGGGCTGGCAGGAGATGCAACATCCTTATCAATCTGTTCATTGGTTGCCATGATCAAGCATCCCTTTTGGGAATGTGCTTTTTCACGTGTGGCGAATGCTGCATCAGAGAACGAAACAAACCGGAGTTGGGAAATTGGTATGGGTTTATATTTTATGCTCACTTCTGCATGGCGTTTTGCATCAAACAACAATTTGTTCCCATTCATAAGATCCTGTACAGTGGCAATGGGAATCCGTGCCTGAAGTAAGCTCAGTCTACAGGAGATATCAGGACGGGTATTTGTGGCCGCATATTGAAGGCTTCCGATCAATCCCCGCAGGGCCTGCAATTCCGGTGGTGTGACGAGAGCCTTTAGATCGTTCCGACGATCTCGAGACACGGCGATGGACGGAATGTCCTGAAGATATTCTTTTTGATCGACAACAATTTCATGATTCTGTTCTTGTTTGATATGAAGACCTGTGAAAGTTACCTCCCTTTTGCGATGGCTTCCAAAAGGATACTTCTTCTCCAACAACTTGATCTTTTGATGAAAGACTTCATCACCCCCACCTATACCGTCGTCAACGTGGATACCCAAAATGCCATGTATATTGAGATCTGCTTCTCGAGACTGTCCTTTGGGCAATACGAAAACACATGGATCGAGGGGAGACATTTGGAATCCTAGAGACAGGAGGGTTCCCTTCAACTCATGGTACCAAAGCAAAGGAGCGTTGACCAAACCATATGCTGATTTCAGGAGTTCGCAAACTTCTGTGGACTCAAGCTGCATTCTTGAGCGCATCTCTGACGGAGGCTCAATGCCTAGGATGCGATTGTCTTGTCGACTACCTCTCAAAAAGGCGGTTCGGATGTCAAATGAGTGAAGCTCCCATTGTGTGCTGGCCAAAGTCTGCAATATTAAGGATCGGCTGTCTCTCCCTAAAGTGGGAGCATCACGCTCCAGTGTTTCTATGGCTGGGTCCTCGAACCCTAGGATGACAAGGCGAGCCTTTGCTTTCCTTGTTTTGCCAGTTTCGGCTTGTTCTTGTGGATCAAGTGGTTTCCAAGTGAGAACCCAACGAGTTCGAAGAATTTGCTCATTGGGGATGCGATTCCGAGCAATGCGACGGACAGTTTCGGTGGCCAACCATTGATCTATCTCTTTATTCTTGGCACCTAACATTTCTTGAAGTTCGCTCCCCTTGAGATCCGACATTTTGATTTCTACTTTCTGTCGTTTGGCTTGGGATGCCAAATAGATGACCTGATCAGAGTACCTTTTGTTACAACATTGTTGGATCTCTTCGGCACTGAGGACGATTTCGAGTTCGATGCATGCATGATTTTCTAGTGGTTCCGTGTTGTAGACTGTTTCTGGAATGCTCATGGGATCTGGTGTCCTATTGTCTTTCAAGAAGATCGTCTTACCTGTCCAAATCTCGGGCAACCATCTGGGAGCAGTGGGATTCTGAAACCATTGTTCACGAAAGGACAGGGTATTCCCATCACGGTAAACTCCCTGAGTGATTCTGGTGCCTAACTGATCAAGAGGCCAAGGACACTTAAGACTTGTTGTCGGCATGAACAGTTGCAACCGGGGCTTCACATGATGTCGAATCAAACAGTGTTCTTTTTCTTCCCAAAAGTCCTCTACAACCTCTTGCGAGATGAGCTCATCGTCATCTACCTCGGGAACAGGTACTGAGCTGGGGTCCAATGCTGTGTCAGTGCCATCCACACTCATTGGTGCCGATGGGACATTCGGCAGGTTCTCAGGCTCGGCGTCTGGCTGTGCTTCGGAATGAACACTCAGAGGGGCATTGGATCCAAGGTTATTCTCATCTTCCGGGGATGCTTCTACTGTGGGGTCCAAAGCTTCAGGACGATGCGATGATGGGGACCTGTGAATGGCAGTCTGGGACGAGGAACTGTTACTGAAATACCCGGCTCCTGCTGGTGGACTTTCGGTCAGCTGGTGATATTGGAAAACACCGGTCCCAGGCTTTGGGGGTGCACCATCTGCTGGTAGTGCCTTTAGGTCTCCTAATTCCCGGGTGGACAACTGACGAAGATGTTCTGGAGCACACCGGATCAATCGAGTGAGGTGACTCAGCCAAATCAGGTTTTGCCCATCGAGCATGAGAACTTTAGCCGGACCTTGCCATTTCTGGTTCTTCCAATACATGGCCCAGTCGCCAACCGAGTATAAATTACGTCCTGGTCGTGAGCGACTGTGCAGGGACCTTCGCAATTCATGACAGTTGTCAGCACGGACAAATGCCGCCCGAGCACTCTCGCGAAGGGCGAGTTGGTGGTGGAACTGTGACTGCTCGGTTTCTGACTGCAAGGCCGCAATGTTCGAACTGATTTCTGAATCATCGCTCAAACTACCTGGAATTCGGCGACTCTTTCCAAGGATTAACAACTCGGGCGTATATCCCTTGATTCGTGACAGTGCATTCTTGGCATTGCAGGCTGCTATGAGTCGTTCTCCGAATTCCTGATGACTTTCAAATGGTTGGTCCTTGAACATCTTTGTGAGCATGTTCTGGAGTATGGCTCCATGTCTCTCCACTCTCCCTAACTGCCAGTGTGCATCGGTCGGAATCACATGGCTCTTTATGCCTAGTTCAAGCAAATGCTGAGCAAATTGGTCGCTATTTGCTTCAGTCGCACTGTCAAACATGAGTCCCTGAGGGGGTCCA